CCGCGGTGGTTGGACCACCGATCTTTCATCTCCCCTCTTCACCTCGTCTCCAGTTCCTCGCTCAAGATTTCTGCATCCTCGTTCTGTACTTCCATCCCCTGCTTGCCAGCTCTATGGACATTTTCAAGTTTTCATCGCGAAACTGAGGCGCTCAGACAAGAAACTGGCCGTTCTTGAGTCTCTAGTTTGCCTAATGAGTTCCTCGTCCACCTCCGTTAGGAACTTAAGTGTACATTTACCCTAGGCTCCCAGGGTCTCAGAGCCTATTGGCACGAACCTGTAACAACGTTTTGGGTCCCTGTACTTGTAAGTTTTCTGGGTCTCCATATAGATGGCCGCCCGCCTCCCTCAGCTGTACTGTGAGGTGCATAGATATCAGCCAATGTAGACTCACACGTGTAATCCCATACGAACTGTTTACCTTCCCTATATGGCTAAAGGATGACTCCATCTGGGCATTAGTTACTGTTGTCAGATCTGCACAACTGAAGTTCCCTTTGTGCTGGACCCCCAGCTGTAGCCAAATTTCTCTTGATGATGTCATTGACTGCTTCATGTCTGGCAATCTTTCCCGGTGACCTATGACAGATGAGACCATGGCTGCCGTATTGGTCTGCTCGTACATAGCCGCAAATACACCGGTGTTCGGTGGAGATAGACGTGGCAAGGCACAGGGCAACACCAATACTTAGGGCTTGATGGTCTAGGCGGGTGCCTAAGGCGGAATTAGGGAAACCCAACAGGAAGTCCCCAGCATAGGGAGCTTGCACAGCTAGGAGGCGTGCTTTGTCCTTCCCAGACGCTGCCTCCAGCAATGCTGTGGCAATGTTCTCCACTATGGGGCTATCCCATTTGGCCTGTTTGTCGTCGTTTGGAAAAGTTGATCGAGGGTGAGAGTTGGCAAGATTGTCCCACTGACCGACTCCGTCCGTGAATTTATGATCATAAATCCCAATGGGGTCTCTTAGGTATTTTGATAACATTTCATTCACTAATTCCCCTGTAGTGAATTACAGGATAAGAGGATAAGAATTACAGGAGGGTCGAGGATAAGAATGCCGGCAATGTTAACTGTGTCGCCTTGCGAATACCTATACCCCCGAGTCTAACTGGGAGCGTTGCTTGGTCCCATTGGTCACCTTGCTGGGAGAGGTTTAACACTTTCATGGTTATTGATTTTAGGAGTGCGTCATATTCTGTTTATTTTGGATTGTCGAAGGAGGGAGCACATCTTAGGAAATAGGTCAGTCTGGGCAATGCCAGGCACTTTGTGAGGAGGTACAAAGCTTCGTGGGTATCCAAAGTCCCTATTCTTCCCTCTATTCCCCTCAGGTCGTACAGCTTTTCTTCAAGGATTACCTCAATGGCATTCAAGCCCAGAGGTGCCCCTAGCAGCACACTGTTGGTGGGCGCGATCACTGGGGCTCCTGGCAACATGGTTCGTACTGCATCTATGATTGGTTGGCAGGATGAGATGATTTCGCACTTTGATGAATTTGGGCGAGTCCTAACTCCTCTCTCTTAGATTTCACTTATTGTAGATCTCCTAGCAGGGACTCCTGTGTCCCTGCCAGAGTGCCATCCCTCTGGAACCAGATGTTGAGTTCTCTTTTCAACCTGCTTGTGACCTCTTTAGCAGCCATGCAGAAAAGGAAAAGGGCAAGTGGGTCTCCCAGTTGGACACCTACGGAAACAACTTCATGTTCCACAAACAACAGTGTACATTCCCTACTGTACCCTGCTGAAACGAAGAGGAGTAGACAATGAAAGTTTGTTCGAACTGCTTCCAGTACCCAATCCCTTTTTACCTGGTTGAAGACATTTTTAAAGTCTTAATTTAAATAATACCTTATTTTCTGGGAGGTGCGTAATATAGGCTCACGCTGCATGAGTTGCTGCTTCACAACCATGGGGGACACCAAAAATTAGTTGATGGGGTCGAAGCATCGTTGCAGCTTGCGTGCGGATGTTTCTGA